TATAAGTTGCTGCTCTAGCTCTAGTTAGCTCAAAATAATTATAGTTAACTCCTATGTAATCCTTCCGAAACAAGTCCCTATCCAAAAAAAGTCCTTGTGCTAGTTGCTGCTCTCGCTCTAACTGACTCAAAATGATTATAGTTAACCCATACGTGGGCTCTCCGCACCTGGCTTATACACTTATCTCTCCATTTTGATTTTAACTTTCTGTTTATCGTCGACCATTGAATTTTCCCTTTACAAGTTTTTTTCTTTATATATACACGCATCGAAATGATTGAAAGCTACTTCATTGGACTTATCAGGTATTTTTCGACAAATTTATTTCAACGAGAGGCCACTTGTGCATTTAAATATCTTGTAAAGAAGTGCAGGTGAAGCTTATCTGGCATCATTCTAAAGCAGTAATTGTTTTAAATTCAAGACGTGGTTTAATTAAAAAATATAATTAAATTTAATTATGGGGCTGTAGTTGACTAACTAATAATTGCTTGAAGTATAAGGAAAATGTTGTCCGGTTTTGAATGAGAAAAAGTAACAGCATTTTTACCGGAAATTAATTCTTTTTATAGACTTAACTCAAAGCGAATTTTACGCAATTTACATACGCTAATTAGTATATATACATGTATATGTAATGTGACATAAAAAGTGTCAAATAGTATTAATTACTGAAAGATGCTTTCACTTAGGTATGTGTCTGGTCGTCATGTTGCTTGCTTAGAATGATAGTTAAATTTCTTGGAACTGTATTCGAATTTATTTCAATTACATATATATATGTGCTACTCTATGAAATTAACCGTTATGATAAATTTTTGATAATAACCTCCTAACTTTATGGGCTAACTAAGAATGAATGGTCTCTTGAAAGTACATTAAGCCGCCAGTCGTCATTTATAGGCCATTACATGAAATTTTAGTCGTTCTTGAATTCTTGCAATGGAACTTAGCTTAAACTCTCTAGCTCTACTCGGTTTTTACATAAAGTCATATCGTTTTTTTTATTTTTTATTTTTTTTTTAAATCCTAATGCCTTTGTGTATGAAAGTTATGTTCACAATTCTTTAAAACTCTCACCTGTTTTATCTTTTGTGTTTCTTATTCGTTTGTCAATCATTCTGCTGAACGGCAAACAAAAATCTGGGTCAAATTTTTAATATGATTAAATTCATTGTGAAACTTGATTTCATCAATGTCTAGCATTCATAACGATAAGCCGGTATTTTCATCTGTTTTTATTTTTATTTTTTTTCTCTCTTTTAATTTGCAATATATTTCAGTTACAGTTAGATTTGTTTCTGCGCAAATTGCATGCAACTAAATATGCATGTAATTGTATTTTGATAATTTGGCCAAATAAAGAGACAAGGGCCCATCTAAGTTTTTGGATATATTATGCGGATATTCTGACTTTTTTCTTCTTTAAATTCAAAATATTTTAAAACAAGAACTCTTTGCTGGGAAAAACTTATTTGATGATATTTCGATGATGAAACGATATAAACTGAATGTAAAACACAAATCAAAAAAATATTCATCAGCTGTAGCCCGTCATAGGAATACTCTATACCGTTTGTGTTAAGCGTGAAACTGAAATTGATTTAAGGTCAACCAACCCTTCATTCTGAATCATTCCCTGCCACGAATTAAGAATGGATGGATGTCTCTCCCTTAAACCAGAATTTTAGTGCACTGAAATGCTTTATACAAGAGGGGAATGCTACTGAAACCGGATTGGATGGGACCGTTTTTTGTGATCATAAAAAAGTAACACCTTGGCATGTTAAGTAAAAGACGAAGCCTTGGATTGGATGGGAGTATTTTTTCAACCGCCCACCTCACAAGTTTTTCATACAAAGACTTCGCATAGCTACACTACCTAATAGAAAAATTGAGTGAGTGTGTAGTCTAGTAAGTTTCGACCACGTGGATCTATTTTTCACCCTTTCCCATATTAGGTTTATTTACTTGGCAATAACTTTTTTTATTTTATAACGGGTACGAGCAAAATTTATATACCAAGTTGGACTTTTCGATCCGTCTCCCAAATAAGGTCTCATTTCATGTTAACAGAGTCCAAGTTTTGTTACTTCACGACCCAAATGAATAAAGAATTACGTTAGACGAAACGTTGTAGGGTATTTGATGACTGAGCTTTCCTGACCATAAAGTTTTCACTTGTTTTATTTGAATTCATTGCGTAAAACCCAATCTTATCTGTAGATATATGTGAAGATAAATCAATAAATAAGTAAGAATTATGTTTAAATAAATTTTCATTACTCATAAGAGTTTTTAAATTTTTTTTATTTTTTTTCAACAGCGATTGCTTCTTCTCCTAGTAGACTGGATAAAAAGGACATGAATGAGTGAAGGATACTTGAGTTGGTGAAGAGGATGATTTTTATTAAGGCTATATGCAAGAGAATTAAATGGCAAAAAGTAAAGGACGAGTTGGATTGTTTTTGCTTACATATGGTTCAGGCAACGCGGAAGATCTCTTACGACTTTATCTAACTATTCGTTACAAGGTTATTCATTCATACAACAAAGTTATTATTCATACTTGTTGCTGCTAGTCATAGTATATAATAATTGGTAGCAAATGCATGCAAAGGTTTCTGGGTCACTTTATATTAATTATATCTTTGAAACTTGATTTATTTTATTTAAAACTAAACGTCGTTTAGCCATAGACAAGTTCTTTGTCCATCTGGTTTTAAATGTTTAAACAATTACATTGAGCAAGAAACAAATGTGGGACTAGGTTAGCTGCAAAACAAAAGTATATTGAATAGAATTTGGCAAATTGAGTCATATACTCCGGATTCATAGGTGAGAAGGGTGCGCCCCTTCGCATGTGTAACTTTAACATAACCTTTCCTAAAATTAAAAAAAAAAAAAAAACGAACCTATGAAAATTTTATTGATCTGTGACCGCATCTTTTATACTCTTAAGCTTTGCCTTAAAAATAATTCACGATCCTCTGTAATAAATGGTGGCGCGATCCAGGCCTTCTAGCGTTGTACTTACAGCGTAAGGTCGTCCACGGAATATAAAGAAATGTTTCGACCGTTGTGTCTGTTGTATTTTATGAGTGATGAACGCAAAGTTCAAATTCTTTAAGTTTCAATACAGAGGTGTTCTCAGTTTATGTGGCACTGTGGGCGTTACTCCTCGACCGATTTGGCCCATTTTCAATATCAAGCAGCGAGCAAGAACTTCTTATGTTCTTGCGTCATTCGAAGTAGAGATTTTATTTTCTGTAACCGCACACTACCACACAGAGGGACAGAACGACTGACAGATCTTTCTACTTTGTGTGCAAATTTGATAATAACTAAGAGTATAGTGTCTTTATCAAATCTCTGGAGCTTCCTTTGAAAAAGCTCACATGAGCATATGGCGGAGTATTGAATTTCGATACACGTTAAGAAAATCCGAAAGCAGGCAGCGAATGTCACCGATAAGCTGATAATATTGGGAGATAGAAATTTTTTTAAATTTTACTTTTCGCTAAGCAAGTATGTGGGAAAATTGAGAATGAAACCTGGAAAAGCGTAACAAGTGCAGAAATACGTTAAGCAACCTCATCGAGACAATATAGCGCAAAAACATGAACAAACATGAAAATCCATCCGCAAAATGTGCATTCGCTATGTAAACATGTAAATCATTCATAAGTAAGAGTAACGGTATAATTAAGGCAATAGTAAATAATTAGCTGAAAATCAATTAACAATGGAAAAACAAAATGTGATGGAAAAATGTAACTGTGTAAGAACATAAAGTTTTGATAGGCTTTTACTGAAGCGTAATGATAATGTGAGTATACCCGAAATTCGTCTCGACGTGAGTGCAGTTTACGTTGTTACTTATTTGGCCTGTTCATGCGTACATGTGTTGTCAGTGTTGTCGATTGGTTTTTAGCCCATTTGTTGTGACAGCTGCTGTTTTATATTGCGATTGCATCTACGTATTTGCAATTACCTGCGCGTGCATGTGTGGGCAATGATTGAATTCTATTGTAGTAAGTCACATACGACACGTAAACATAAAAGTAAAGTTTTTAAGCCCATGCATGATATGTGTCGTCCGTCTGTCCGAATTTTCACAATTTGTGTACATTTTAACTCTAAAATAAATTTAATCCTTTGGCATACAATGCTTACCTGTTGTGCATTGATTTCTTGTTTTCTGTTTTCTGTTTTCTGTTTACTTTTGTTTTTATTTTTCTCTTTTGTTTTTATGCTGATGTTTTGTTCGCAAATCTTAACTCTCCTCCTGTTTTTGTTTGTTTTATGTGTACATTTTTCTTTTTTTTTTCTTTTTTTTTGTATTTATGTTTTCTTAATAGCACCAATAACACTAATAATAATAATAATAAAACATGTGAATAGTGTTATGTATTTTGTTTTTATGCTCGTGTATGTGTGTGTATTCTTTCCATTTATTTGTTATTCGCAAATGTTTGATTTAAGCACAACGATGTTATTTGCATTGAATGGAAATTTTCCTGTTTTTTTTTTTTTTGTTTTTTGTTTTCATATCCCGCACATGCCCTCACGTTACAAATTCTTACATTTTCGTTTACTTTTCTATTATTCCTTCCTATATGTATGTATTTTCCGTATTTGATCTAAGATATTCTTCACTTTGAAAATTGTATCGATTGGATGGATATCCACAACGCAATGGCCATATATCGTATTAACCAGTAGTTAATCCGTAAATTGTTATTAAGAACTTGTTAGCTGCACCGTATAAGAAATACTGATTTGTAAAGTGTTTGGTCGAAAAGACTTTTAACCACAACATCATTGTAAAGATCAGACCAAAAGACAAAAAAAAAAAAAAAAAAAGAAAAGAAAGACAAGAAATATTTTTTAGTATTTTTAGCTACTGAGCAGAGTTGTTCATGTTGTGGCTCAAATCGCCCCTAAAACATCTTACTAAATGTATTTTGTTTCTCCGATGATACTTATTATTATATTATCTCAGCGGCAGAGGCTGAGAGAAATAATAAACAAAAAAAAAAAAAAAAAACAAAACCAAAGATGAGAGTGAGAGCGAGAGCGAGAGAAAGAACGTACTAAGTAGTTTAGTGAAGAAAACTGAAAATTGAAAACAACAACAACAATAACAAAAAAAAAAACGGCACAAAACTAAAGGTAGATTATAAAAGGTTATACCAGATAGAAAGCCTGGTGCATGGGTAATAAGCATTTTTTTTGTTTTTCTTTGTTCATTACATCCACGTAGAAGAAACGGAAAAATTAAAAATAGTACAAGTGCATGATTGAGTGAGTGACTTGTTAAATGAATAATGATCGCAGCACTGTAAACACCAGCAGCAATCGTGTTGTCTGCAAAAAGCACAAAGCCAACGTTGAATAAGGTATTTGTGGTCAGGGCGAGAGAGCAAGTGCGAGAGCGTATCGGCTTACGTTTAGAGACTTAGTTTAGAAACTTTACGTTAAGAGATACCAACTCTCAGTGGGTTACTGTAGTAGAATCGTTAATAGTGGTTATGACCGGATTTAAAAAAGTTTGCTTTACAAACTTCTCAGTTTTTTCTTCACATCTAACTGCACTCGCCGCATAGAGAGTTTACGATGCCTGATGATGAAAGCATTGTAAAGCAAAGGAATGATAATCGCGTATAGTTAATTAGATAAACTCATAAATCATCGATTTATAGTTTATAGTTCTCATTTTAATTGTTCATTTCGTGCATTGTCTATACGAAAAAAAAAAAAAAAAAAACTATGAATACATACGTAATTAAGCATGCTTTTCTATTACAGGATTACATAACCAATGTACCTTTTTAGTATAATTCGAGTTTGACATGTCCTGCGGATGTTTTATAACTATGGATATGGATTTTCGTTTAGTGTTGTTGCTTGAACATTTGCACTTATCCATAGCGCCGAAATAATAGCAGGCAGACGCCAGTGCTTTGTCGCTACAAATATATATCCGTTTATTTTTGAATAATTCATAATCAAATTGAAGCATCAAGCATCAAACATTATAAATTCTTTTTTTGTGATGAATCAGCTAAGAGTTGATAAAAAAAAAAAAACAAAAAAGGCTCTAATGGTTATATGAAATATGGAAACATATTGTATTTAAAGCTGGAAATTTCATAATGCAATCGAAAATTATGCGTCTCATCTTCATTTGCAAGCCGATTAATTTGGTATTTGATAGTTGTCCATTCCTATTCTGAGCACAATTACAAACGCCTCCCAATACCCAAGACATTTATTATACTCTATGCCACTCGTTGTACAAGGTTGTATTAAGTTTGTGAGGATGTGCGGAAGAAAACTTGAAATACAGCCTACAGCCTGTAATTTTTGATACTCTGGCATTTTTTGACTCAAGGACGCGCATTGCTGGAAACGATTTTAATTGGAGTACTTTTTCGTCTATTCGCCATGTCACGCCTTATTTTGGAAAGGGTTAAAAATGATGCCACAAAACTCGCTGAGTGAAAGTACTTTGCCGTTCGATGATATGAAAAATTTTGATCGACTGGGCAATTTTTTGAACCTAACCCCTCCTATAACCTTTGCTACGAAAACTGAATCTTTGCTTCACAGTAGTAGTAATTTGGCGAAATGTTAACGATAGGGAATTTAGATCAGGTAGATCTATTATTTAAATCCTAACTTACACGGGAATTATAATGAAAAGCAAGCCCTTATAAGGAATTTTAGATCACATAG